TCAGGGTCAGATGAGGGTCAGATCATCAGGTCATCTGGTTCACTACAGTGTGTTGATGGAAATGTAATGTGTTGTATGCAGTACTCTTAATGGTTTTGGCATGCAAGGTGGCCGACAAGTGCATTCCTTCAAGGAATATCATTTTCATGAGGCTTTGTTGTTGTTTCATCCTGCAAGTGGGCAGTCACATGCTAACAGTCATCAGTTAATCACATTACTGAGCTGCAGCACTGTGGCTTTCTTTTCTTTTACTTGTCTACCAGTCCGGCTTTGTTACGAATGCACTCAGTGGTACAGAGTCGCACCAGAGATGGGCTGACCGATCCCCCTTGCTGCCTCGGTCCGTTTGGAGGTCACACTGAGGTGGAGTTGCATTCGGGCCTAAAAAATCTGACCCAACTCAGCCTCAGCCCGTGTGCCATTTTGTCCGAGCCCAACCTGACCCAACCAATTAACTAATTACAGCCCCAACCTGAAAATAAAACCGACATTGGTTTTAAATTAAGCTTTTACTGCTTTTGTAAGCAAATCAGTTTGACATGATATTTTAAAAACGTATTTCAATGAAAGGAAGTTATAAGATTTCTTGTTTCACCAAATGGATATTAAAATACAAAACGAATAGCTTAAAAATATCAACATTAAAGATAGGCTATTATACAGATGAACAAAAATATTTTAGAGCAAAATTATTTTAAAAAATATATAACAAGTCTATTTTAATTGGAACACACTGCGAGCACCTAAAGCTATGCTTTAGTAGCTTCAGGTGCCACAATTTCCTTCACCGCAGATGACAACAGGGTGCTGAGACACGCGCGGCCGGTGATCAGGTGATCCATCTGAAGCCTAAAGGGACTTTTTTACATTTTTTTACCTCTTTCAACCGGTCGGTCAGCGGACACGCGCGGCTTATGATCCTGTTGTCCATCTGAAGCTTAAGACTTTTTTTTTAACCTCTTTTAGAGCTGGACAATAATTTGATATTGATATATCTCGCAATATACTTTTATTCAATAACGATGATATGAATTTTAAGCACATTTTCGATATTTCGATAGGATTACAGCGTTTTCTGTTCGCGTTGAAGCGGCCACTTCAGTTTCAACCCGGACAGAAAAAGGTGCGACACAACTACCTAAGTGCGTGGCGACGTATTGTTATGCAGAGCTCAAGTCCAGAAGGCGTTAGTGGTAGCAGGCTAAGCTAGGCTAATCTCTAACGCGCGTTAAGTTTTCTCTTCAAAATGAGTGCCCATGATCGTCAGAATGTGACTGAACAAGGTTTCACAAGTGCAGAGAAAGCAGTTGACATCACTGATGAGAGAGAAAAGACTAATTCGCTGGTTTGGAAGTGGTTCGGCTTTCTACGATCCGATAAACTGCAGGTTTCAGTCAGTGTGCTGCAAAATGTGACGGAGAATCGTTCTAACTTGCGGTTGGAGCATCGAACTTGTTCCACTTGACAGAATACGCTGAGTCACAAGATGAAGCACAATAAAAGTTTGAGCCAACGTGTCCCTGAAACACCCCCAGCGCTGCATGTTTTTTTTTGTTTGTTTTGTTTTTATCATTTATTCATTCATTTAAAATAAAACAAATTCATCAAAAAGAAAAAAAAAACATTGAATAAAAAGGTTGCAGAAAGAAGAAAAAGATTCTTATCTGCCTACAAAATAACTACAAACAAACAACAACTTTGACTTGAACAATCTTTAAACTGAAAACAAAAAAAACTTCAGGTATCTTTCTCCTGGTCCTATACCTTCCCAACAACTTTAACTATCATCTTTTTAAACATATAAGTTGTTTTAGAAATGTTTGTGGTGATATTAAGACAATTCCATAATCATGTTCCCTGAATTACAACACAGCTCCTTCACACTAGTTCTAAATGGAGGTTTTACAAACATTTACATTCCCTGAAGTTATATTGTCTATCTTTTTTTATATTTATTTTTTACAAATTTTAATTGAATATTTGGGGCCAATATTTTTATGAGCTTTATACATGACTTGTAAAATACTATATTCAACCAAATCATAACATTTTAATAATTTCAACTGATGAAATAATATATTTGTTGGGTGACCATAGCACTTCATACTATTAATAATTCTTATAGCTCTTTTTTGTAAAAATAAAAATAGGGTTTGTAATTGTTCTATTTCATATGGAACGATCATTACATTCTACAATATATACAAAGCTTTGTCATTCAAAAACTCTTTTACTTTATACAGTATTGCAATTGATTGTTATTTTTATTTTTAAGTATTTTACATGATATTTCCATGTCAGCTTCTCATCAATAATGACACCCAAAATTTTTATTTCATTAACAACGCATTTCAATGCTGTCAATTTTAAAGTTGTTGCTTAAAGTTAAAACTATTAATATTGACAAAGTTGAAAATTGTATGTTTATTTGACCGTGATTTCAATTTTTTTGAAGGCTAAATACAAATAAAAGGTGAACATTAATTTATTTGTATAGTTTGTAGTTTTTCTGAGGCTTTTATATTGTTTATATCGATATCGAATTATATCATTATCGACCGAAATTAAGAAACATATCGTGATAAAAGTTTTGGCCATATCGTCCATCCCTAACCTCTTTCAACCGGCTGGTCGGACCTGAGCGAGCACCTGACACACATCAGCAGGTTTCACTGTGCTGGCTTTAGAGTGAGTTATCCCGATTTTAGCTTTTGTTTAATACTTTCCAGCTCCATTCTGTCGCTTGTTTTGGGTCAATTGCAAATCCTCATATGTGTGATAAAAGCAGGGTGGGCGGGGCCACATGCACAATTGTTGCGCAGTGTGCCAGCGCTACTCTCTCTTTTCACAGGCTGATTAACTTCTGTACTCTCTCATCCTCAACATATACATTTACTGCCTCTTCCTCAACAAGTAGATTAACACAATTTAATATGGTGCGTTCTTATTTAGTTTGCTTTGTGCTGTATGATTCATAAAACCACATCAAAAGCCTGCCCATCAAGCACATTATTTTGGCCGGGGCTCAGGTTAGAAATCACAGCTCTGCACTGAGGTGACCAGTGTAAATGAGCCTTTAGTTTTGTAGTGGATTTGCATCTCATTTGGAGTCTGTATTTGTCTCTTTGCATTTGATTTAACATCTGATTTTACTTTTTGCTTTATTTTTCTTCAAACAGCTTGATGCTCTTTCCAAACA